AGGATAACCCGGAATAGCCCCCAGCCAGGTTATATTAGGATGGCCGACGACCTCGATCTGAAGGTATCCCCATGGGCGGTGTCCTCGACACGACGTCACCATACTCAGCCAACAGTGAGTTAAATGGATCCAAACGTCCTGAGGATCTCAGATCCGCTACTCGCGTTCGCGCCTTTTTGGTGCCCTACAAGGACCTCGTCGTCAACCACCGACGACGAGTTGAGTTGTTCTTCAGGCCGAATCATGACCACTTCGAATAAGTCGCCAGCCTTTAAGGCATCACCTAAATCAGTCAAGGACATCACGTCCATCTCTAACAGAGCATTACAGGACGCCAAAGTGCCCAAAACTGTTCGTCTTGCGACGGGTGTCCGTGTTACGGAACCCAAGGTCCCATTGGACTTGGGTGTCAAGTTCCTTGACTTTGACAGCACGGAACGCTGTTTGGTCTTGGACCTTGATCAGAGGTATGACCTCATCCTTGGTATGGCGTGGCTGGAACGCCACGAGCCATGGATCGACTAGTGGTCGAAAACATTAGGTGCTACGCATTTCTCTCCTGGTGGGGCTTTGGCGAGTCATGAACCCACCTCTGCCAGGACGCAGAAGCGTTATTGGCGCAAGAGCTGGGCTGAATCGGCCGCTCCGTTGGACGTCGGTGTGTCCGAGATTGTGACAGACGTTGTCGAGGACCTTGGTCTTGTGTTAGTGCCGCAAGGCACGGTTGGGCATCCACCAAGTGTTATTGGCCGTGGCCCGGATATTAATTATGCTGTGACACGTACTCCACTGAGTAGCGCTCGGTCGAATGGCGAGTTGCAGAGTGCTCATTTGAGCGCTGTCGACGGTCTGTCGACGCATGGGGTGACATGTAATCCACCGGAGCAAGGGCAAGTGTTGCCGGGTGTCCCGCTTGACACCGGTTCTTCAGGGAACTTATTAGAGTCGCGGAGCAGGCTCACGGCGTTCAGCGGTTGAAGGACCGCTGCCGTTCTTTTGATGCCGACTGTGCTACAGCAATGCGCTACGTCACCCAAGAGCGTGAGCGCATGAAGGCTGGCCTAATCATGTACAATGCCGAGCTTACGAAGCTCAGGCAGTATTTGGAGGACAATGACCGAGGGAGGGTCTGCTCTCCATCACCGCGGATGAAGGCTCTGCTGGCTGAGAACACCAGCCTTCGTCGAGCAAATTCCGTGCTCCGGTAAAACTCTGCCGAGCACGGGCTCAATACCGATGCACTCAACCTCTCGACTGCTGGGCTTTCCGCATCTGGTCTCGACTGGGAGCTCTTGGGTCTAGGTCCCGATCACACGGAGTTCCTGCGGCTTATGCCACCGAGTTTCCTGTTCTTGACTCTGTCAATGACGGCCTTGCTTCTCTGGCCGCCGTAGCCTCGTTGGCCTCGCCACTGACGCTTCCCGCTTCTGGCACACCCACTGAAGTGTCGGCCGAGCACTCGTTCATCCGGCCTTCGGATGATGCTCTTGTCACGTCGCCTACCGAGTCCTCTCATGGCGGCTGTAACGATGGGGGTTTGTTTGACGATCCTTCATCCGACATGCCAGCTTGCAAGCGCCGCCGTCTCCGGCAATATGCTTCGACACAGTCCTCCTCATCGGCGCCTTCCAAGCTCCCTGCTTCGCGAAGGCTTGGTCGTCCATCTGTGGACTTGAAGAGGAAACCGGCGTCCGTGGTGACCACTCCAAAAGCTCGGTCTGGCCCAAAAATGGCTCGGGTTTCCAGTACACTGTCCGTGGGTCCATCTCTTTCACCCAAGAGTTCCCACGCGCCTCTTGGCTCGGCTCACAACTGTAGTGATGCTGCCGACAGCATGGAAGTTGACATTGGTGCTGGTTCTCCTGTCGGTAAAGGGAGCTCTCTGCAGCCATCTGCTCCACTTGAGGAGCCCAAGTCCAGTGAGGCGCCGAGTCATCCCTCGGCTGATGTGGCCCCACTATAACAATCCCCCGTCGAAGTCTTGGATTTGACATCCGACGACGCGGTGGAACGTTCTCGGAAGAAGGCGTCTAGACCATTCTCTTCTCCGGTCGTCTCTTACTTTCCTCGTAAGGATGGCCGGCCGAGACGTAGCTCCTCCGTCGCGTCCGAGCTGCGGATGCGGGAGAGTCTCGAGAAGGAATTGGCCGACGACGACTTCATGCTTGGTTTGACAGCCGAGGACTCAGTCGCCAGCAGTATGCGTTTGGCGAAGGGCAAAAAGGGTTCGCATAGCCCTGTATCTCCCTCTGACACTGTCGCCGAGGCCTCGATTGACAGTCCTGCCGGCGGCAGTGACCATTCTCCTACTGGGGAAGTCTCTGTCGTAGAGGCTCCGGTGGAGGCGGGAGCTCCGGTGGACGATCCTACTCTCTCCGAGTCCTCTGTCAGCGGTGCGTCTCCCGCGTCTAAGCCCGGTTTGGCTGTGCCGATTTCCCAGGTCCTCAACGACGTGGATGTCGATCTGGCGGAGCTGGAAGCCTATGACAATACTGCAAAGGATGTGGAGACGGGCGCTGCGGATGGTGTTAGCGGCACCGAGTCCTCCGTTTCTCACCTAGTGTCAGACTCTGTTGTGGTGCCGACTACTCCAGCGGTGTCGTCTGCCTCTGGGTCGGAAGTCTCGCCCACTATCACGGTCGTCCCAGCGAGAACAAGGGATCGTTCACAGCGTGCCGCTAGTGTTCCCACCCAGCCGGCTCCTATTCCTCACCATGTACCTGGTGTTGGGATGCAGAGTGGTTCTCGGCCTCGACGGAAAACACACATAGTTACTGCTACAGTGACGGCCCGACGAGGCGCAGACACCTTCGCCTTCGTTCCCGCGGCTACGGTGCTGTCCAGGGCCGCAAACGGTCGGGAACTCACGGCCCCTGCGGAACGGTTTCTGGAGCCTGGTTTCGCTGCTGTTGGGGCCCAAAAGGCTTGGTGTCAGATGCTGAATGTGAGCCTCTCTGGGTCGGCCCTCAAGGACCACGCATCACCGCTCGACTTTGCGTTCCTTGCGCTAATGTACAACGTCCATAGCGCAAGACATCCGTGGCGGGTGCTTTTTGACCGCATGCCGGACGAGCCCTTGACTTTCGAATTGGGAAAGCTCGTCTAAGGCGTGCGGATTTCTATTTTCGCCTCAGGTCGCGGTGGTCTCGTTCGGATGTGGCGCCGGTTCTAAGGCCACTGCTACGAAGACAACGAGAAGATTGACTTGTGCGTCGCGTTGTAGGAGCACCGGCATTGGCTCCAAGTGTCGGCTTTTACAATGCCACCCGCAGGTTTAAAGAGGATTCGGACCCTTTGGATCCCTTTACTCACGGGATCCTTGGTTTGTTGTATCATCTCAATCGGATGAGGAACAACCGCGCTGATCTTCTGCGTCAGCAGATGGATCGGCTGTGGGAGTGGTGTACAAATGCTGGAGGTGGCACTCGCACTCTGCCCACAGAGGTTTTGCTGGAGCCTAGCTACCTTCAATATTCAACGGAGGTGCTGGAATGAGCTCCAGATACCACAGATTGGTTCCGGGAGTTGCGGGTGTTGGATGCGAAACAACCATGGAAGAATTGCTGGATCGATGCCCCTGTGGAGCATCCATACAACACTACGTATGCTCCCTGCAATCCTAGTGCCCCGATTTTCGTGCCGACTTCGATGACCCGGCAGGCCGTCATATCGGGTATCGTTGTGGATAAATCCCTGGTTGACGCTGATCTCACAGCTCCTTGGGTCACCACGGCTCCTTCTGTTGCCGAGATCACTGAAGGTTCGCCAGCAAGGGCTGCTGAAGAGGGCTCGGTCGGCTTTGGGGGCTCTCCTTCAGCCTCCGTTGAGACAGCAGAGGCTCTGGACGAGGACTCGTTCTCGTTTGTCCCTGCTGCGACTGTAGCTTCGGGGCCTGATAGCGCAGCGACCGAGGGCTCGGCCATCCCTACTGGTGTTGAGGCTCCTGCTCACGACGTGGATGAGCCTCCATCCGACATAGTCCTCGCTCCGTTCGAGATGCTAGTCCAGATTGCGACCAGCGAGCGGTTGGCTTCGGAGTAGTTCAATTTTCAAGCATTAATCTAGCGATAATTCTAAGTAGTTTCGTAATCTCCATTCTCCATATCTCGATATCTTCATTCCGAAAACTCGTTCACATCATATACAAACATGTAAAATGCATTCTGGTGCAGTAACTTCTTTCGTCTGTTGTTGTGGGCTGCACTTAACCCCACAGACAGATCGTTCATCGGTCGCATCTAATCCTGGTCAGCGACTTGGACCATTTGCAACCTTCGGTCACGACGTTTTTCTCGGAGATAGTCGTATAATAGACCACCGCACGAGAGGTTAGATGCAGGCTCCCACGTCGGATCATCATATCCGACCCACTTTACATTGAATTCTCTGACGGCTCGTTCTGTGCTAGTGGCCAAAGGTGTCCTATCATCCAGTATCGATTCGACTTCAAATTCGCCCGTGATATGATATGGTTCCCAACTATCTTCTGGGAGTAATTCCTCGTCAAAATCTAGTCGTGTAGCCTGGTTCACGTCTCGTGTCAAAACGAGCACTCGGTCGATCTCCAAATTCGTCTATCATCTTTAGACGTGACACACGCACTACCGGGTAAAATATGTACCCACTTCGGTCGGGAAGCTCGTAGGCAAACTTTTCTACTTTCCTCTTGACCCTGAACGGTCCATGCCATCGGTGTGCAAGTGTTTTCGTCAATCCTGGCTTCACGCGCTCCATATACAGCCACACTCGACTTCCGACCTCAAACAGAGACTTCGTGGCACCGGTAGCATTGCTGTCCGGAACCTCGGTCACTGCGCTTGGCGCAGGCTGCTCATCACTTCGTGTAACGGTTCGGCCTGTTTCTAGGGCTGTGCCTCTTTCTCAACCACGGAGGCTCTCATTATGTTTCCTGGATCTCCGAGCTTTTTCAGTGGCCTGATATT